TCTCATTTGCATATGAATTTGTGGGCAATGTTATAGAAGAGCTGCTGAGTATTTCAAGTGTTAACAGATTTGTAGCGTTCAGTTGGTGAATGCCTATTGATTAAATGATTAGGTTTTTTTAATAATCTAAAGCATGTAAACCCAAGCAGGCTGGGCAACACGAATTTTCAAAGTGAGCGTGCTTTGGAAATACAGTTCATGTGACTGATGCTGGTGTCCCTTTTCGTTTGCATCACAAATATTGCAGTGAAAAACTTACTGCTGGGAAACTTGGAAATAATGATTCCAGAGGCTATGTTACAGAGTGGTCATAACAGGCAAGTTTGGTATTTGTAAATGTAACCATTTGCTTTGGGAAGTCTGATTCCAGTTGTAATCCAATATGCATGTTTCAGTCTTATAGATAGGAGAGAGGCAATCCAATTAGCCAATAACAGTATACCGTGTGATATATGAACTCATCTGAAACAATTTGAATTTAAATACCCACAGCAACTGCTCATAGACTGACAAAGAATTATCTTTGACTGCACTCAACAAATCATTTTGAATTATGAACATAGAACCACTTGAACCTGCTCATGAACAGGAAGACTTAAATTGAACGGAATGCATTATTTAATACAAGGAACTCACCCAACATTTGTAAATAGTGGTGTATCCTAAGCAGTATCTCCTGCATCTTTTGTAGCAATATGTGGAGGTATTCATTAACAAACAGCACATATTAATCAGGACTCTAAATTTAAAGCTCATCTTGAACTAGAGGAAGTAGTACAGCAGATTTAAATTTCTACCTGAGCTGGAGCAACTTCAAAAGTCTTGAAATAAATGTGACAGGAACAAGTGTTTCTATAAACTCTGTAGTTCCTGGAGGGAACAGCCTGAAAGGTTTTGAAATTTGTATCAGTGAAATAGGAGGATCTTGTTTACTGCTGTGAATGAAATTCACCGATATTAACGGAGAAACATCCCTGTCCAAAACACCTGAATGTTTTTATCTAGATTAAAAAAAAGGCAACTTCCAAAACTTGTGTTTTGCTCTTCTTTTCTATACCACTTCCTTTTGTAAGTTATTTTTGAAAATGCGTAGTGGTATTGGTCAATGACCTTCCTCAATGGACACATTTAGTTACCAGATGTAAACATGCTGCAAATAGCTCATGACGTGCAGTTCTGCCAATGCCTCCTAACCCTGACAATAAGACTTAAGTGGACTGGAAGGGAGGCTGTCAAGGGATTCCTACCAAATAGGTACAGGCTGCAATCTACTGAATGCATCTTGCATGAGTACCCTGAGCACACTCGGAGTTCATTGTTCCTCTCAACATCATGCTTTTATATGGAAGACTTGAGACAAAGGTATTATAAATCTCTATTCATGAAATGAGTTTTGAAGATCTGTGTTTAAATGTAGTCATGTTTCATTTTCTGTCACTCTGGCTTTTTTTTGTTCTTTTTTTTTTATACAAGTTTAGCCAATGTTAAGGGAATGACAGAGAAAACTGATGCTGAACATACTGTCTCTGGAGATGTGAAAGTTAAACCTGTCCTGTACCAAGGGAACCTCACTGCAAGATGGTAGTTCAGGGAGCAATGAAGTCTTTTCATCAGATAAACATTTTAGAGGCAGACTCCGGTAGGAGCCTGGGCTGAAGCAGTAGGAACTCTTATACATGAGAAGGACTCATGCCGCAGAAGGTCTTCAAGATCAGAAGATCTTTCCTGATGCTCTTGAATTGTGGCTGTTTTAGAGTAGTATTATGCCCCTCTCAGTAGGCAGCTAGCTTTGTACCTGTCTGTTTTCCTTAACTCACCTCTCAGGAAAAGCGAAGAATGTGGAGTGAAGGTTGCAGTGCAGACGTGAGACTGCTACAGTGCTGCACCAGCAATCACACAGAAGCATGTGCACTGCATGCAGGCTACTACTTTGAGCAATCTTATTGGCACAAACAGAGGATGACTTGATTTCCTCTACCTTCAGTGAGGGTGTCAGGAGGCCTATAATGAATTTTATAGTGACCAGGACACTTACTGAAAACATTTGTTCAGAAATAGTCCTTCAAATGCAATCTGCTCTCCGTCACAGCTTTTGCTGTGCTACTTGTTTAACTGTGTAACCCTTCACGTTTTTTGAGGCTGAGACAGAGAGATGGATTTGCACCGTCTATCATTGTAATGTTTTGTTAAAGCAATGCTGTGATTAAGAGCAAAGATTTCTTCATTTGTTGTACAGGAATATCCTGTAAATTCAGAGGAGAACTGCAGGAATGGTGAGGGTGTTTTTGACACCCCTACCCCACCAAAATATAGTGAGATTATCAATGGATTGCTTATCCAGAACGTCATGTCCTAAAACACTTAGTAAAGTGAAATTTTTTCACTAATTAAAGACACAGGTGTAAGGGAGCCACCATTGCTTCCTCAATATTTGTCAACCAAGGATCATAAAAGTTATATGAGGATGATGTTTTGTACATTTGTGATGCTGTGTTTTTATATACAGCTTTTTAAGATTTATACCCTACATTTAAAAACGATAAACTCATCTCACTACAACCATATTGTTCAAACTTACATTCGTGCATTGATGTTTATCAACACTGATTTTTAATAGCCATAGTTAGAAAAGACAGTTTATTTAACAACTATACATTTTCTGCATGTATGTTCCTCAAAAGTTGCACATGAGCAGACAGAGGTCTTTACAGCATGTTTGTAATATATTACCATCGGGTTAATATGCTTATGTTCATTTTTTTGTGTGTGTGGCTATCCTGAATCTTCTCAGCACAGTTGTTAAACACCTGTGAAGATTTTAAATTCTTAAAACAGAGTATTTCAGGGGAAAAAATAGAAAAATATTTTTGTAGGCATTGCATGACACTTGCTGGATTGCTATACACTTTTTTTTTTTAAAGAAAAAGTGAGAGTACGATTATGGCATGATGGAAAATAGAGCTGTTTTTTCAGAAATGCAGACCGTTGAAAAGCATGAATTGGCATTTCAAAAGAAAGCCATTAATGAACAGAGCTCTTTGCTTCAGTGGATTTAAGATCAGGCCTTGGATAGGAGAAGTGTGAGTCTGGAATGGTGATACATCTTTATCAGAGTACAATACTCTATGACCAGGTTCTTCAGTTATTCCACACGTGGAGGGTTTAATGTTAAATACCAGATTTACTTATTTGAGGATATTTGACCTTAAGCAGGATTTTGATTTAGCAGAGTGATACAGCAATGCACTAAAATCACAATACAAATACAAATTACACATAGCAGAATACAGCAATTAACTATACAGATGAATCACAATACAAACATGGTTCTCATTACTAGTCTTTTATGATATGCTCAATGTCACAATGCTGGGCGTCCCCAGTTGCTCGGAAGGAATGTGGACTAAAGGCAGCTCAAGCCTTTCTCTCTTCAAACTTCTCTTTGTTAACTGCTCAGCTTTGGTACTGTGTCGGGTTGAGCCACATGTACACTCCCCTGTGCTGGTCTGACTAACTCAGGAAGACATTCACATTCTTTTGCTTAAGTTTTGATTAACTGTTTGAGAACAAACATTCACGCGACCAGTTGATCCACGCAACTGATATAGCCATTTATCTAAAACAAAGGCTGCCCTCTGGTCCCTTTTGTATTAAGTTCAGCTTTCGTTGCAACAGTGATGGTCAGTGGATTTTGACTGAATTGGGTGGGAAAGAGTCTGTGTAATAATGCCTAATATGTTGTCAGATGCAGACGGAGGAGTATTTTTACATGCATCTAGCTATGGAAAATTTGGGAAAATAGCCCAAATATTTTTTTTTCCTGGTGAAGGTGTTTCATAGTGAAACATGTTACTGTATCTTCTGCAGAGAAGAGTTCATAGCCACAGTGGTATTTTTCTTATAGGTGAATCTCCAGTTTAAAATCTTTTGACCTTTCTAAAGTCAATCACAAAGCTCCTGTTAGGGTCACTGGAGGAAGATCTTACCCTTAGCACTAAGATACAAAGCTATAGGACATTCATCTAAGCAATACCTCCTGCTGGAAGTACACATTCCATTGGCATCTAAAGTTCACTAATATAGAAACTTCAGTAGAATTTAACTTAGTCTTTTAGAGATGTTCTTTTTAAAAAAACATTTTTCATATATATTTGAAAAATTGTACTGTTGCAGACAGAGCTGAACTTCATTCACGTGAACTTCATTTTGCCTATTTGCCTGGGAATAGGTAAAAATTGTAAAACAATTGAATAGACTTGGGGCTCATTAGGTCTTCATTATGAAGAATTTTTTTAAATCAGATTTTATGTAATTTTGTTATTGTAGAATTAATACACTCATAACAGAAAACATCATACATTTCAGCTTCAATAAGTAAAGGAGTGTTGTGGTTTAACCCCAGTTGGCAACTAGTTGGCATCCCAGTTGGCATCTCCCCAGTGGGATGGGGGAGAGAATCAGAAGAGCAAAAGTAAGAAAACCCGTGGGTTGAGATAAGAACAGTTTAATACTTGGGGGAAAAAAAAAAAAGTAGTAGTAATAGTAATGGAAAGTAAAACAAGAAAAGAGACAGAGAGAGAGAGAAACAAAAGCCCAGGGGGAAGAAAAAAAACCCCACAGGTGATGCAACCGCTCACCACCCGCCGACCGATGCCCAGCCAGTCCCCGAGCAGCGGTTGCTGCCCCCCAGCCAACTCCTCTCAGCTTATATGCTGGGCATGACATCATATGGTATGGAATGTCCCTTTGGCCGGTTTGGGTCAGCTGTCCTGGCTGTGCCCCCTCCCAGCTTCTTGTGCACCTCCTCGCTGGCAGAGCATGAGAAGCTGAAAAGTCCTTGACTTAGTACGAACACTCCTTAGCAACAACTGAAACATCAGTGTGTTATCACATTATTCTCATGCTAAATCCAAAACCCAGCACTATGCCAGCTACTAGGATGAAATTACCTCTATTCCAGCCGAAACCAGGACAAGGAGCCTGTTTCAGTAGGTGAAACATAAATGCCACAGGTCAAATACATCTGAAACAATGTTTTTCTTGCCATTGGCTTATTTTAGATAATCCCTACAAACATTGCCGTGTATAAGGTGCGACTGTGCTTTCGGCCTGATGCATACATATGTCTTCAAATTCCTCTTTCTCTCCAAAGCAGAAAAGTAAGCGATGCCTAAAAGTTTCACAATATTTATAGCTATGGTTCGTCAGTGGAATTATGTTTGCTTTCCTGTGGTATGAATATCTAGTCCCAAAGTAGGAGAGCATTGTCCAGTGCTGCCCTTCTGGCAACTGCCACCATGAAATGCTTAGGAATAATCACTTACTGATGTGTGCAGTGAACTGGTGAGACTTGAGGTTGTGGAGACGGTCTTGGAATTCCTCTGTGAACAGCCATTGAAACTCGTGTCCCTCGGAGCTGCTCTTTTCTTACGGCTGGCGTGGGTGCTGTCTCCATCATTAGTGTCGAACACCACTGTCATGCTGGACTCCATTCTGGACACAGCGTATAGGCTACTTTGCCGGGTGGGATGAAACCTGGCTGCCTTGAGCTCTAGTTCATCATAGCTGGACACCTCAATGAAGGGGCACCAGCGGAAAGCTCGCTTGAAGCCAGCTCGGAACCTGGGAGGAAGGATGCTTGGTGAAAGCCTGTGCTTGTGAGAGACAACCACAGGCCTTCATCTGAAAACATCTACCATGCTGACGGGACACTGACTCGGCTAGTTATCTCGCCCCTAATCCTGTTTGTGGTGAAGTTAGTGGGAGTTTACTTGACTAAAGTCTGTGTAGGGTAAAAAAGACAGTGGTAACAGCTCATTTCTGTTTCTGATTTTCTATATACTTTCCCTGCATTTTAACATTGGTATTTTCCTGATACTCAATTTCCCTTCCTTTGCCCATGCCTAAATAAATAAATACCAGCTTTCATAGTGCTGTCTTCACAGAAACTGTTTTGATTTGACCTATGATGAAATCTGCACCTATCTTTTTGTCTTCTCTCAGCAAGAAACTTGGTAGCATTCTTTTCTCTAAAATACCATCCCAGCTTCCAGATTCCAATATCCCTTCTGTGTTTCCCTCTCTAACAGAGGTGCTTAAATGGGAATGATGTAATTTTGAATAATTGTTCATATAAAATATTTGGAAAATCATTTGTAATAATTAAAGAAGATCCTAGAAAGTTAAACACTGAATGTGAACAATGCATAAACAGGAATTTTGAGGCTTTAGCACATTAGTGCTTGCAATATTCATACAGGGTTACTTTTTATTTCAATTCAGAGGCAGAGATTTACTATAAAGACTATTATTACTTTTTGTATGGATGCACTTCCAGAATAGAAGTTAAATATATTAGAAAAACAATTTGTTGTATATTTATGTGTAACCTGAAAAAGAACACCTTTTCACCTAGACCTAAAACTTATCAGACTTTCTCACTTGTCTTGTTTCTCTTGTTTTTGTTTCAACAATCAGCTCTGTTATTTATTGTGTCTGTAAGCTTTTTGGAGCAATGGTTCAGCTGCCATAGTGATGACTATAGATAAAATTTTAGATTACTTTTTCAGTGAAAGTTGACTGATCTCACAGAAATAACTTTCTTTCCTCCTCAATTTTTTAAGTTTGCCTCAGAGCTGTCACATGATAACAAATGAGCAGGTAGCTTGCTATTCAGCATTCCTCTGTTTAGATGCAGTCAACATTATGAAAAATACAGAAAGAACCTCTGATGGAAATGGATTTAGTGAAGGAAGCTGTAAAACCCAAACATCTTTAGGCTGTATTATTTTTTATCTCACCTTCTATCCTCTTTCTCATTCAGGGCATGGTTGAAATAATGCTGTCTTTATCTATATATGTAAGTAACATCCTAATTAGCTTGGAAGATGAGGCTGGGATAGGTGGTGTAACTCTGTCTGATACTAGATCCAGCAGAGATAATAGTACTGGATGAATTGATCTGACTCCCAGCAACAGGCTGTATTTTACTACTGCATGAAAAGGAAGCAGATGTTCAGGCTTCTTGATTTCAATATGGAACATAATTATAAGAAAACTTTAACCAATATTTCATTCTTGCATTAAATTCTGAACAAGGTGACCTTTAGCGTGTCTCAAAATTACAAAATTTTTGTTGACTTGTATTCTTTAATCCAGACGTTTAATTTTGCAGTGTACGAGTGTCAACATAAGCCACATCAGAGATATTAATTTTCTATGAATAACGTCTGTTGTAACTGTGCCGTAAAAAGTTTTTGAAGAAAATGGCAATGTTTTAGAGAGTTTATGGTTGTAATTGAGAAAATATGAGGCCTGGTTCTTCCTTGCTTTTGGTTTTGCAGACACTGGACACCCAGTGAAATCTGGTTTCTGTTGAAATCAATGGGAAATTTGCCATTTGAGTTAAGATTTCATTCCGTCATACTAAAACTTTACCTCTTCTTTAAACAGTTGTAAATGATCAAAAGGGGCAGAAGGCTATATGAAATCATGCATTACCTTGACATTTTAAAAGACTATGAATGTTAAGCATCATAAGCTATTCTCATCAAGGAGGCAGACTCCAGTGTTTTTACACCAATAAAAACTCACCAGGATTTGGTCACTTCATTTTTGATTAGACTCCTTTTGACATGTATTGCATGATCTTTACTGGGGTTTTATAAATATTTAACAAAATTGGCACAAAACTCGTCAGCAATTAAACTTGTCACTGGCGGCTCATTCAAAAGAGATTTCAAATAATATTTAAGATTACTTATTCAGTACCGATTCATACTGACTGAGTTTGTGAACTAATTCATTGTTCTTGGTGGTCTTTATCCAGTAATACTAGAAGAAATACTGAAAAATAGGATGGTCAGGATGATGTTTGTTTAGACCCTGGTCCTACAGGCTGAAACGAAAAACATGATTTCATTCTGCAATCCAGTAGTCTCAAACTGCCAAATATCTGTAAAATCTCACCAAACTCAACCAGTGCAATGCTTTTGAAATTCAGAGCATAATGCATTGCTATCAAACAGTACTGTAATTTGCTATTGAGTAATGAGAATATAAATATTTATTAGCCTGTTACAGACCTCAGAGCTCAGTAGAAATCTAATGGTAAGGTATAAAATACACAGTAAATCACATTTTATATGATATCCTTCCTGCAAAACAAATTTGTGGCTACAGTTAGTTAGTGAACACACAGATTACACTGTATATCACTAATGACTGTCTTTACTTCTTTATTTTAATGTTTTGCAAGCCAAAAAATATTAAACTGCTATAGATTTTAAATTTTGTATATGGAAACGGGAAGGTTTGGTTTCTGAATACTGAATTTTGCTCTGAAATTTTAAGTAGACCAAAGTATTTATTGGAAGTGCGCATTTGGTTTTTTGGGATTCATTGCAAGTACAAACCTAAAGAAAGTGTTTTGTTTTGTTTTGTTTTGTTTCCTGCTAACTGAAAACTATTCAAGTGAAAATTCTTTGTCTTTTATCCTATTTAAACTATTTATATTCTCATTGAAGTTATGCATACCAACTGTTTCATAACCAGCTCTTACCTCTTATTAAGACAGCAGTAGATAATGGGATTGTACATTGTAGAGCTCATGGCAAGCCAAAAGCTGGCTAAATAGATTTGCTGAATGTATTTCCACCGATTTAATTGTTGATAGATCCCAGTAACTATGAAGTAAATGTGGTAGGGCAGCCAGCAGATGGCAAATGTCAGCACAACCACAATCATCATTTTTACCACCTGAAAGAAGGAGTTAATAATGCTATTTTATAATATACATTAGCCTATTTTATTTAGACTAGCATTTCAACATCCATTAATAATTTTCTTGCATTTGATTATTAAAGTAAGTCAAAGCAAAGACAAATATGCCTTTATATAGTTTTCCTTTTAATCTGACTTTCCTAAATTTCTGTTTATTTTCTTTTTTTTTCCCCTTGGCTGGATATCCTCCTTTTCCTAAGGAAAATAACATGAAAATCTTCTCTAACTTTATTTGTATTGATTCTTCCAAGAAATGTATTTGCTTACTTATATTTGGCTATCTAAAATACTACTTTTTTCTGTACACGTAATCATGGAATAAGGTTACAGGGTGTTTTATTTGGACACCTCGTTTGGCCTTTATTGACCCTGGTGTCTTTTTCTGTTGTGGTCTGCAAGTATATTCCTTGTCCCCAGTGATTAGATGTGATTTGAGTAAACACTAGGTTGTAGGAAATGAGCAACTGCAGTAACCTGTTTAATTTCAGAGGCTAACAATTTCCTTGGCTGGTGATTATCATTTGTTGTTTTCTGCAGGCATCGTAACATCTGTTAGCTTCCATAGTTTCCATTAAGCAGAAATGAAGAGGACCTCTGTTTTGTGCTTGAAACACAAGAAGAAAAGTTGCGGGTCACGTAAAATTTTCACTCCTGTCTTTCCCTCTTCGGCTATGTTAAATACTAGCCCAGCTACCTTTTTCAGTACAATATGTCACAAGTTTACACAACAGATTTTCTTTTTGTAGGTAAAAGGAAACCAGACATGATAGGCCTGTGCCGGGAGGTCTCTTGTTCATTTGTACTGTGGATACTGAGGAATAATAGGGATGGCTAGCAACACTTCCTTTCGTTTCTCTGTACAAGGTGCCGTTTCCTACTGTTTGTAGTTTTACCAGGAAAAAAAAAAAAGAGCTGAAATTTCCCATACCTACATGTCTTAGGTTGATATTTTTATAAAATTTCAGCTAACGTAATTAAATCATTTTACATATAAACATCATGGCACCGTCCTTAATTCATATTACATCTTCCTGTGGGAAACATAAAGCAATTTTTCATTTAGTATCTGGCACCAGTTTATGAGCTTTCCTGCTGGCCGGGACAACATTTTGCTTATGAGAATGCTTATTATTACTGATACATATACCGATCATCACTTAAAGATACAAAAGGGGCATCTGTCCACACATACAACAACATAATTTGAAAGGACCAGTCGAATCTGGCGAGTCAGCAAATGGTTACAGGACTGGTGCCCCAGCCAGGGCTTCGGCTACTTAGACCATGGGACTCGCTTTGATAAACCTGGTCTACTTGGTGAAGAGAAACTAGAGATGGGCTGGGCTGTGCATGTGAATCACCTCCTGCAGTACCAGCTGTGCACGTGAAATTATTCCTAAAATTATTTATCATTGGAATATCATAGGTACTAAATAGAAGGATTTGAGGCCTGATTTTTGTATCCAGATTTTCAAAGTATAATCAGGCAAATCCATATTTATACTGAACATTTCATCTGTACCGTGCTTGAGAACTGAAACAGTGGAGCTTTCCAGCAATAAATGTAGCTTAATCTGGTTGAACACCGAGTCACTCATGCCCCGAGCTACTAGAAATCACAGTAAGAGTTCAGGTTGCCAGTTTGGCATACTAAATTGTGTTAACAACATTTTCAAAAGAAAGTTGTTTGTCTTTTTTCTGACATCCAAATTATTATTGGCCAGTTTTCTGTGTTATATCGAAGGGCAAGGCAAGCAGTGCTTCAAGAGTCTACGTAAAGGTCTCCTAAAGCTAATAAACCTTCACAGGCTGTACAAATAATAGCTTTTCGATTTCAACTGCTGCACTCAAAAATGAACACAAAATGAATTAAGTTTTGGTTTAATCCAAATGTAATATTTCAGGTTTTCTTCAGGGAAACAGAAATCCCAAAATAACTATTTACAGTATGAACCAAAGAAAATCCTCAACTAAAAAATTTTTGTCACAATTTCAGGCAATTTGATTCTTATATTAAACCTTTTAACTTTTTTTTTTTTAAAGTTCTTAAATGAAAAATGCCAAATCACCCCCAGAAAATCACATCTTTTCCTGCAAGGTTAATGTTTTGTTTAAAAAAACCCACTGTCTTTAAAAACAGTGAAATCAGCATAAAATTCTCTTCTTGCTGTTTCTGTCAGGAAATTCGTGATTAAATATTAAGTCATCATCATAATGAAACCAGAAATTTCTGAAGCAAATAGTTAAACTAGACAAGGAAAAGATTGTTTTAGACGGCCATTAGTGTTTGATTTAATTTGTGAAGTAACAAGACACCGGAATGACAGAGAGTGAAGCACACTACATTCTTAATCATTCAGGTTTGCAGCTGTTTTTCATAAATAGCAAAAATTACCTAAAAATTTAAAGTATCACTTTCCTCTCAGATAAGGCTGTATCAGTCTGAGTTTCACTGAAGTGAATGGTAATATATGCATGTTTAGGGGGAGACATGCAACAGTGTTTCATTATTAATGTGTAAAGTATTTTTTCCTGGAACAAAAAGGTGCTAATTTTTCCAGCAAAAGGGATGTTTAAGAAAAGTCAAGGTTGAGTTGTCATTCTTTTGAATATTTATATAGTACAATGTACTCATTGACGTATTACCTAAGAAGAAAAGTGAGATGTTGCAAGTCTGTGTGGCATAGAATTGTTTGAAACACAGGGCAGTTACAGGTGAATTTGAAGTCAACCACAGAGGTTATGAGAGGAATCAAAAAGCACTATTCTGTCCTCGTTTCATCAGCTAAGAACGAGTATGTGTTGGCAGAAATGGAGGCAAAGAAGAATAAGAGGAAGCTGAAACGGAGGGAGATTATTCCCTATTTCCTTTCTTCCTTCAGGAACTGCGCAGTGTGCAAGGCCATACCTTACAGTTTATGGCTGTGGTTCTTGTCCATCCCCTTGGTCTTTCCAGTGTTAAGTTTCATTTCTTGATGATATCAATAACTATGAACAGAAACGGCCTTCAAAGTCGATGAACCCAGTGCATCTTGATTTTACTTGGTATAAATCCTGATGAATGAGTGCCAGTAAACTGTTAGGCTCAATTAAGGCACAGGGAAAATAAGTGAAACAGGCCAAGTATGAATTTGCTGCAAAAGCCTGATTGTCTCTTCCCAGTACACTGTGATGTTTCACTAAAAAATCTCCAATGACACTTTGCAGGTTCAATTGAAGAGTATAAAACAGAGCCTCAATGGTTTTTTTGTTTGGAGTATTTAGACCTGTGGCTCTGACAATACAAAGTTCTTTTATTTTGTTTCTTTTTAATATGCCTGTTCTGCCTTTTTTTTTTTTGTGTGAGATACTAACCATTTTTCAATTGCTTTCTCCTGTGTTCTGTGTTGCATAGAAGTCATTAATAAAGGTTTGCTCGTGTGCATTAGGAAGCATTTCTGAAGCAAGCAATCCAGAAAATTACTGAATTCAGTTGTGCTTAACGTCTAGCTCTGTTCCTGCCACCATTTCACCGCAGAGCTTTCCGAAATGTGTGATTGCAGTGAGCATCACCAACCTGAGTCCCAGTGGCACTGTTTTCCCCTGGTGTTCTGTTCAATCTCCCCTTGTGTACTGTGGGCAGCACGGCCGGAGGAAAGGGTTTTTTTTCTGTTCCAGGATTTTTGTTAAAATGAGTTGTACTGAGTCTCTCAGTTGTGCAACCTTGAGGCAAGTCTTGAGGCTAGATTTGGAATATGATGGAAAATTGAAGTATTTTATATTTTGATTTTCATCAACACGTTACGCTGATATTGATGTACTTCTGCCTATGTCTAAGAAAAACTACGTCTATAAAAAAAGTTAATCTATGTGCTTTGTAGTCTTGCCCGTTCCTTTAAATTCTTCCTCTCTGAGTAAGAAGCATTCTACCATTAATGAATGATATGTAATGAGAAAAAAATGTATTTAAAAGAACAAAAGAGAGATAAAGTCATTGGAATTGGAGTTTGCAGGTTTGCTTTTGTTGTGAAACATTTGAAGCAGTAAAAGTGAAGAGGAGCTAACAGATTCTGCTACACTCACAAAGAGCAGCAAATAAATTTTTTTTCCTCCTGTTTTTATTTTGCATGAGGAATAACTAGAAAAATGAGTCTGATTGAGATGTAGCATTGAGAACAGCTCTCGAAAGATTAGGAATAAAGTACACTTTTATGAGAGACTCAGTTGATGCTGGGGGGCTATAACAATTCAGATTGCAAGGTATTGATTTGCCATCAATACCTAAGACTTAGGCCAGGGAATTATTTCCTTTTCGATCTGCACTGCAGCTCCTTATTGCCTTTCTAAGTCATCTTTGATATTGCTGCTTCTACAAGGTCAGGAATTTGGCTTCTGATTTCATTTGCACCAATATCACTCACTATAACTTCATTAGTTTCGGAAGTTTTACTCCTAGGTGTTATGCAGATGTAAATGAGAAACACGGCAAATACTTTAAGATCCATACAGTGTAAGAATGTCTTGGTTTACCCAGTCATGGATATGATTTGTCCATGTGAATACCACTTAAACACAGGTCACAGATAATCTCTGGGAGTCATAATGTGTTTCTCTTTCTGCTCTGTGCTCTTTTGGAAGAAGTAAAATACCAAACTGACATTGCACAAAGTGTTTCTCCCAACGTGTTAGGATGCAATCAGTAAATCCACTTCCCAATCCTAGGGACATACATGGCACTTGTGCACTAAGCACCAGAGAGAAAGGAACTCCATTATGTCTTTTGCTTCTCCACAACACTTAGTTGGAGTAAACTATCTATCTTTTGCAAGAAAATTAGGATTCAAAGGTAACTCTACTGGCATTAGTACAGAGATAGGACTGTTTTCTGAGATACCAAGTGCTGTGGGTTTTCATATAATTGTGACAAGCTCAGGGATTTTCTGTGCACTTTTAGCCCATAGAAAGGATAGATTCTTAATAGCTGAAGGAGATGCACA